TTTCTTAATATATGTATAATTACTTTCAATATTATTTATTAACGTCATTAAATACTTTGTGAAAAAATGGAATTTAATATAATTATTATATATATGTGTATATACATAATCAAATATTTCGAGTTCATTTTTTTATAAAGTACTTAATAATGTTAATATAAAATTATAAATGTCGGAAGTAATTAATACACATCAAGAAAATGTTCAAAAATGTATTCTATATAGATACGTTTTTTCAATGATATTTTATTTCGAACGCTCAGACATCAACAAAGTTACATATTTATTTTTATATTTAATGTGATATCATAATTTTGTTATTATATTGCAACAATTACACGGTTTTTACAGATATGTATACGCATTGGTGTCAACAAAATAATGTTATTACTTATTTAAAATAACGTTACAATTATGTCATTAGAGTTACGTATAGTATTTATTAAGTTTTTAGAAGATACACATTTACATTCACCAATATATATACGTAAACATGACGAATTTAACATAACGTTGCAATTATATCATTAAATTACGTAGTATTTTCGAAACATTTCGAGTATACACATTTATATCCACCAAAATACATAAATGTTACATACCAAAATAACGTCAAAATTACATAACAATTCTATGTAACAATTATAGCTTTATTACGTTATTGACATAAACGAAACGTCATAGTTTCGTTTTGATGATCTGTAATATATACATATAAAACATTATGTAATTATTACATAAATGTATTTTTTTGAAATTATTTATGTTCTTTGTTTTTTAAAACGCGTAATTAGCAAATTAGATTTTATCTGCATTATGCGTCTTTATAAGTTTATGTGAACTCGGCCTTCTGATTAAGTTTGCCATGATTGGCTTAAGTGTGCAAGTGCGCAATCGCAAAAAGTGTCCCGCGCAGTTCGCGCTTTACTTTCAATATGGCAGCATGTACGAATACGGTAGTCATACATGCTTGAATGTCGTCTCGAAAGTAAGAACAGTGTAAAGATTTTGGTAAGTATAAGATAAGAAATAATTTAACATATTAAATACTAATAACTGATAATGATTGCGTTATGTTAAAATATTAATTCTAAAGACTGAATTTCTGTATAGAAACCAGACACACCACGGAAGAATCACGTGAAAGCTGCGTGGCTATAACAAAGGACATACCGGCACCGGCGACATAAGATATACACCTCGTGCCTCATTCTTCTTATGTTTGTGGTGAGTACAATTCATTTTATTCAATATCATATTTCCCATCTTTTCGCATGATTTCTTGCACGAGCATATATGTATAATGAGAAAAATAACATATTATTCGCACTGCTTTTTCCAATCATTAGAAGGTTAAATATTTCGAGTGTAAAGATCGGATTTTATTACCTCATAATAATTATAGATTTTTTTATTATATTTTGCATTGCACTAAAACTAAATGACGGTCTACCATTTTTCTTATAATGATATCGTAATGGTAATTAATCTAATGAAAAATGATATTAATGATTAAATAGCTAATATTGTTGAGCAAGTAATTATTTGCATTAGAAAAAACTGTAGATATATACATATATTTTTTTGGAATATTTTACATATGTTATACAATTTATTATTGAATTTTCTCATAGTATAGCTCAATTACAAATCAAAGGAAATCTTTATGATTAATAAATATTTTCTACACATGAGTCTTAATTTTTTAATTTAGTGTCATTTGATTTGAATTAATTTTGTGCGAACCAAATTTTATTCAAGTAAAATATTGAAATAAACATGATAGCTTTAACTATTGAAATTTATTGTATAATGAAGTTGTAGATCTTGAAAAAGTGTTAATATTATATGTAGTATGCTTATACTGTAAAATATTCAAAAAAAATATATGTATATATCTACAGTTTTTTCTAATGCAAATAATTACTTGCTCAACAATATTAGCTATTTAATCATTAATATCATTTTTCATTAGATTAATTACCATTACGATAAATATTTTCTACACATGAGTCTTAATTTTTTAATTTAGTGTTATTTGATTTGAATTAATTTTGTGCGAACCAAATTTTATTCAAGTAAAATATTGAAATAAACATGATAGCTTTAACTATTGTAATTCATTGTATAATGAAGTTGTAGATCTTGAAAAAGTGTTAATATTATATGCAGTATAAGCATACTACATATAATATTAACACTTTTTCAAGATCTACAACTTCATTATACAATAAATTCAATAGTTAAAGCTATCATATTTATTTCAATATTTTACTTGAATAAAATTTGGTTCGCACAAAATTAATTCAAATCAAATGACACTAAATTAAAAAATTAAGACTCATGTGTAGAAAATATTTATTAATTATAAAGATTTTCTTTGATTTGCAATTGAGCTATACTATAGAAAATTCAATAATAAATTTTTAACATATGTGAAATATTTGGAAAAAATATTATATCTACAGTTTTTCTAATGCAATGGTTTCCTGGTCAACAAAATTAGCTATTTGATATTATTTATCATTGAAATTACCATTACAATCATTATAAAAAAATTATAGACCAATATTTTCTATTAATGTTTTTTTAAATATTCAAATTATATTTTATTTGTTTTAATCAATGGATTTATTTAGATTGAAAAAAAAACTGTACATGTCTCACTTGTTAAAAATATCTTATTTATCAAAATATCTTTTATTTTACAGATAAGTTTTCCATATATACAGTATCATTGCTCGTGATAAGGATATACAACGGCGTGCACACAAGGTCTTACGTAACACACGACTGCATATAAATACAGATATTTGGTGAACACACCTCATTTTACCACTTCATAATTTTCATATTTGGTGAGTACGATTCATTTTATTTTAACCTCATATTTCCCATATCTTTCGCATCATTTTTTGCACGAGCATATAATGAGAAAAACAGTAATCTTATTTGCATTGCCTTTTTGAATTATCAGAGGCTTAAACATTTCCAGTATAAATATATTGGTCTTTTAGTACCATGGCGAAATAGTTTGAGTGATGATATCTTTGTGGCATTTTTCACGTGTTAATTCTAACGAATAAAAAGTCGCAATATAAACAAAAATATTAATAAAAATCAAATAATTATACAGTACATTTTATGCATATTACCATTATTATGATAAAATATAATTCAAAAGTATCTGATATGTATCGGATACTTTTAAAGTATTTGAGTATCTGTATCAATATACATTTTGATTTGTGTATCTGTATCTGTATCTAGATATATTTTTTTACACGTATCTGTATCTATATCGAGATACATTTTAAATGTATCTTACTCATCACTGATGTATATATATGTATATGTAAATGTGTATATATAATTATAAAATACCAGGGTTGGGAAGTAACGAGTTACTTGTAACGAAGTTACAGTTACAGTTACTTTTTTTCGGTAACTGTAACTTAACTTCGTTACTTTTCTCCATCTGTAACTGTAATTGTAACTTAGTTACATTTTTTTAGTAACTAGTAACTATTTTAACAGTTACTTTATTAATTACTTTTTTTGGAAACATTCGCTAAAAGTATCGTTTAAGTATGGTAGCCGTTATATTGTTAAATTAAATTTTGATAACAGTAGCATATATATATATATATATATATATATATATATATAGATCTTCATATATAATTTAATTTTTTACCTAAAATTTTTATTTTGTGTACATAAAATAATACAACACATAATTACAATCGACCAATCACAGTCAAGTATTTAAAAAAATTCTTAAATGTAATAATTAATCGATTTGCTTGCGACTTTGCGATTACAATTTAGTAAGTTACCATATATAACTATTTTTACTGTTGTATATAAAGGTCATTCATACATTGATGGTAATCGCAAAGTCGCAAGCAAATCGATCAATATTACATTCAAGAATTTTTTTAAATACTTGACTGTAGTTGTGCATAATATGTAAGCTCCTTATATTTAAAATAATGTATAATTATTTTTAAAAAGTAATTGAAAAGTAACGACTCGTTACTTTTTAATTAACTGTAACTGTAACGAGTTATTTTTTAAAATTGATAACTTGTAACTGTAACTAGTTACTGTTTCAATAAGATAACTGTAACTGTAACTAGTTATTTTTACAAAGTAACTTTTCCAACCCTGTAAAATACTATATATGAAATCTGTCCATATATAATTACATATAATTAAATATATAATTCCATATAACACAGAAAGATTGCAGACATAATTAAAATGTTACAGTGATGCAATTTACATAATATAGTCTTATATATGATATATAATCTATAATTTTATATAAGATCATTTTACAATATGTAAATTGCGTCACTAACATTTTAATTATGTCTGCAATCTTTTTATGTTATATGGGATATAATTAAATCTAATATATGGACAGATTTCATATGTAGTTTTTAGTTTTATACAATTATATATATAATCAATTTATATATATGATTGTATATAAAAAATTTTTACCGAAATGAAAAATGTATTTAAAATATTATTTTAGATTATTAGAGTATTATATCAGATTTCTAGATTATTTCACTATTGTTAGCATTAAATTTTTTGATATAAATGAAATACTTAAGGAATGTGAATTACATTTTTTTCTATTTTCTATTAGTATCCGTTAAATATTACGTAAATTATATTTTTATTATTGGATTAGTTTGTATGAAAGAAAACCTGCAAAAGTCCACTTTAAAAATATTTTTTATTTATCAAAATATTTTTATTGTCCAGATAAGCTTCCTATATACAATCTCACTGATAAAGGAGAATATAACATAAGCAATAAAGGCGACGTATAAGGCATATCCAATAATCTATCTTCGTACATATAATCGCAATTTAGCTTTTCTGTTTCTTTATAAGATTATATCATGTCCAAGTCAAAATTACGACTAGACATTACTTCTTTAACGCCAAGGCAGCGGCGACGTATTTTTTTAAAAAATTCAATAATATTTGCCAAATGAATATTGAATCAAATTTGGAAGTTCAAAATAATATAAGTGGATCAAATGGACCAGAAAATATCGAACAATTACCTCAACAACAAAATGTACTAAAGGAAATTAATTTTAATTATTCCAATGTAATGCATACTCACAAGATTACTGAAAATGAAGATGATTTAATTTTCAAACATTTGAGAATTGGTACTGATAATAATAGTTCTCATTCAAGTATTTCAAGTGATGAATTTTCTAATAAAACAGATATTATTAACGACATCCGATTATGGGCTATTGAAAATCATGTCAGTCATTCTGCTACTAGTAGTTTACTGAAAATTCTAGTAAAATATGGCCATAATCTTCCTCTTGATGCTCGAACTCTGTTCCAAACTCCCAAGCAAGTAGACATTATTGAAATGACACCAGGCAAATATTATCATGCAGGTTTAAGTGATAGTTTAAGAAAATCTATTCGTAAGCATTATTGTCAAAGTAATTTACCATCTCAAATAAATATTAATGTGAATATAGATGGTCTTCCTTTAACAAAATCTTCTGGCAGTCAATTTTGGCCTATTTTAGGTAGTATAGTTGCAGATTTTTACACTGAACCGTTTATAATTGGTGTTTATCATGGTTTTCAAAAGCCAAAATGTTGCAATACTTTTCTGAAATATTTCAAGGATGATTGTCTTGAAATTTTTCGAACTGGTATTGTACAGTATGGCAAAAAAATAACTGTAAAATTGAATGCATTTATCTGCGATGCTCCTGCAAAATCATTTATCAAGGGAACTAGAGGACATAATGCGTATTTTGGATGCGGTAATTGTATTCAAGAGGGAGATTACGTAGAAAATCGAGTAACGTACCCAGAAATTAATGCAATATTAAGGTCAGATGAATCATTTAAATTAAAACAACAAGAAGAACACCATAAAATGACTTCAAATCTTGAAGACTTAAACATTGGAATGGTTACTCAATTTCCTTTAGACTACATGCATCTCGTACTATTAGGAATAATGAAAAGATTATTGCAGTTTTGGATTAAAGGCAAACATAATGTTCGTATGGTTGCAACTCAGATAACTCTTGCTTCAACTTCTTTATTATCTATGTCATCATTCTTACCCAAAGAATTTGCTAGAAAACCAAGGAAATTAGATGAGGTCGATCGCTTTAAAGCCACCGAATTAAGACAATTATTATTATATACTGGGCCAGTAATTTTTTTGAAAAAATTACCACGCGATAAATATGTTCATTTTTTGAGTCTAAGTATAGCAATTCGAATTTTATGTAGCAAAAAATATTGCGTACAACTGCTTGATTATGCACACAATTTACTATTGTATTTTGTTGAAAATTATGGCACATTATATGGTTGTCAATATATATCATATAACGTTCATAATTTAATTCATCTGTGTTATTATGTAAAATTATGGGGAGTGTTAGATGAATTTAGCGCGTTTAAGTTCGAAAATTACATGCAAAAAATTAAATCAAAGATAAGATCTTCAAGTCAACCATTAGAACAATTAGCCAATCGTTGTATAGAAGAAGATAATTTGGATATAACAAATGTAGAAAAGATTTATCCAATATCAAAAGTACGTATTATAAATGGCAGAAAGATAATAAAATCGGTTCAATGCAAGGGTTTCTATCTTAGTACAAGAACTGCTGATAATTGTTGTTCTTTATTAGATGGTACAACGGTTTCGCTTACGAAAATTTATTTTAAAAATAAACAGATTTATGTTACTGCTAAAAAGTATTTGAATATTAAATCATTTTTCCACATTCCATGCGACTCTTTCAATATCGGTATTAAACAAATTAACGAGTTACAATATGAGTTAATTACTATTCCATTGTTTGATATTAAATTAAAATGCGTAAAATTGCCTTTATGTGACGAAGAAGCTGTAGTATTGCCTTTACTACACCAACAAGAAATATGTTAATGGCGAGTACTTATATATTGATATAATCTATAATTGAAAACAATATTAAATATTAAATTACTTAACAAATTTTACTTTTTTAACAGATTATTAATAATGGCGAAAAATTTCGCTGTCGTTACTTTTCCAAGCGATGGAAATAATGAAGAAGAAATTGTATCAGAAGTTCCATCTTTATGGCTTTCTTTCAATTTAAAAGAATGCTGGTGGCCATTGGTAAAAAATGTAAATACCTTTATTATAAAACAAATTCCACCTGTTATTAATGATCCTAAATGGGAATCTTATCCCATTAAATTTCATGGATATTATGGTAAGTTATATTTTATTTTAGAATTTATGTAATTGTTTTTTTAATATTTTTAAAAAATAATGTAATTTCTAAATACGATTTTGTCTCAATTTAGATTCATTAGAGGAAGCTAGACAGAGAGCAACGAACTATTCTTCAAGTGAGGAAAGCAATATAAATGAAATAAAGAAGTCACGCACAAGACAGTTGAATAAAACTGTTTCTCACAATGAGTCTGAATCTGATTCTGATGACTCACGTTTAGTTATACCAAATCCACCAAATCTTACTGTAAATACAAATGCCTCGCAATCAGTTAACAAAAGTCAATCTATCGCAACTGTTATTAATTCATCAGTTGTCAGCAATGATATTGACCTGGAGATTCTTGATGGAACTTTAGTACCACTTAAAAGTAATTTTTATTTTAAAATTCTTTAATTCAATTTACTTATATTATTTTCATAATATAAGTTTTTTTCATTACAGTTATTACAGTTATTATTGTTTATTATGTGAATAATCTAATATTTCTTTAATGTTAATTTTTAGGTATACAGGATGTACATACGTTAATATCAGATGGATTCGAAAAAATGGAAGGTATTGTATTTATTTTTGTCTTATAATCTTATTGTCTTATAATATACTTTATATCTATTTTTGGCACTGTTTATTCAATACTATTAATTTTTCAGGTCATTTTAAAAATATATATACAGCTATAACTACAGTTACATTAGGAATACAAGATCTAAATGTTCATTTAACAAATATAGAAAAACAAAATAATCAACATAAATCCAAAGCATCTGTCACGGATACATCAAATATACATCAATTTTTTCCATTTAAAAATATAAATGAAGTAACAGCTTTTGAAAACCGTTTATCAGAAAATGTAGATGAGTACAACAAATTTGTAAGTTTAATTTAGCTTATTTAAATGCAAATTTCATCTAAATAGAACAATAGAAACTGTATTATCGGTATGTTTTATTTCTAAAGATGCTGTATATATCTCGCATAGGCGGAAGGTCCGCCAAGGAAAATTTAATTCGCATATACCGAACTTTATTTTCCAATGAAGTTGCCAAAGAATCATCTTGGAAAGGATTGCGAAATCATTTTAAAATTAGTAGCTTAAAGTATATATTAATGGGAATACTAGGTAAAATATATTTTTATATTTATTTTTATAAACAAGTTTATAAAATAAAATTTAATTTAATGTATTGTAATATTTCAGCAACAATTTCCGGTCAACATCAATTCACAAACAAAGAATTTGAAGAGGTCACAAAAGAATGGTTTCGCCAAGGTGGTCAGAGGCTTAGCAGACAAAAAGATTTCGAAGAAATAAATCCGCAAGTCATTTAAATGTTTCAGATGCTTATGATTTATTTTCATTATAATTTTTTTCTATAGTGGCTAGAGTCTATTAATATAACAAAAATATTTTTCTTTTCCTAATTTTTTTATTGAATAATTAATACTTAAGTTTTTAGATTTTTGTGTTCTAAATTCATATAGTCTGCACTGTTTCTTTTCATTATGAGTTCTTATATATATATATATATATATATATATATATATATATATATATAACGTCATTACTTGAATTAAATATTTCTTTTAAGAGAATTAGCAGACTTAGTAAGCATCATTTATTGATACTTTTGAATAACAATTTTGTTTCAATTTTTTTTGAATTACAAAAAGTATAACCGTATTTTCTCCATGCAATTTGAATTATGTTTACATTTTTGTTTAAATTAAATTTAATATATTTTTGTTTAAATTAAACTCTAACGATACACACTCATGTATTTTCGACAAATTATTAATGAATTACACATGAATCTCAAAAGTATAATTTGGATGAGTGTATTGATGAAAAGTTTATTGATGTGAGAATTATATAGTTTTTATATGAAAAGTCTATAGAAAATTTACTTTATACTAATGTATATATAGTGTTAAAACCAAAAAATGAAGTCGCGAATACTCGTGTGTATCGTAAGAGTTAATTTTATAATAATTATTATTATAAATTTATGTTTTTATTTAAATTTAATTAATTTATGTTATTAACGATTATTACAAGTGTAATACTACACTTCGCAACAAAATTAGAAAATTATCATAGTCTGATATTTAAAAGCATTTTAAAACTAGAAAACTCAAAGTTTTCAATGGAGATTTTTTAACGGAATTTCTTTACACAGATTTTACTATAAACTACTTTAAAATAAGCCTTATATAATTGTAGAAAAAAAACTTTAACATTGATAGGCGATTACGGAAAGAACAAATTTTTTATCAACTTTATTAATGGTATTAAAATATAGTATTTTTTTTTTAATGCATTTTTATAAACATTGCGTTACGAATTGTGTGTTTTGATGTTTTGAAATAAACAGCATTTTCAGGCCTTTTTAAAAAACTTCATATTTGTTGTCGGTATTGGTAATACCCACAGGAAAGTTACAAGGTTGGACTTACACTTTGTGTGTGTACATGTGTGTGTGTGTGTGTGTGTATGTGTGTAAGATGTGTGTGTGTGTGTGGAAAGGGTATGAGTGAGTATGTGTGGGATGTGTGTGAGCGTGTATGAAGTGTGTGAATGTGTGTGGAGTGTGTGTGAGTATGTGGAATGTGTATAGGATATGTGTGTTTGTATAGGGTGCGCGCGAGTGTATGTGTATGTGTGAGTGTGTGTGTGGAATGTGTATATATGAATAAGGTATGTATGGGGTATGTATGAGTGTGATGGTGTGTGCATGTGTGGGGTGTGTGTGAGTGTGTATATGAAGTGTGACTGTGTATGGAGTGTGTATCAGATATGTGTGAGTATGTATGGAATGTGTATGAATGAGATCAGTATGTGTGTGGAATGTGTGAGTGTATAAAGTGAGTGTGTATGGAATGGGTATAAATGAGATCAGTATGTGTGTATGGGATGTGTGTGAGTGTATGGAGTGAGTGTGTATGAAGTATGAGTGTGTATGGAATGTATGTGTGTGAAGTGTGTATCGGATATGTGTGAGTGTGTATGGAATATATATGAATGAGGTCAGTATGTGTGTGTGGGATGTGTATGACAGACACACATTATATACATACTTACACACATTCTTAAAAACACCTCCCCCCACATATAAATTATATATATATATATATATACTACACATTTATACATCCACACTTATACATTACACACCTCCGCACACACCATGCACATCACACATACCCTATACGCACTCATACACACACACACACACACACATGCCCCCCCCCCACACACACTTCTCACACATACACCTCCTTATGTACACATACTTTTCACACATATATACACCCCGCACACACCCATACACGTTCACACACATCGCACACATGCTCACACGTACCCCACACACGCTTACACACACCCATACTCTACACACACTCCACACATACTCACACATTCCATACACACACACATCCCACACATGCTCACATATACCCTTCTCCCCCACACACTCCACACACACACACACACACACACACACCCATACACACATCCCACACACACACACCCATACACGCTCACACACAGCTCACACATGCTCACACGTACCCCACACACACCTTACACACCCATACTCTACACACTCCACACACACTCACACATTCCATACACGCACACATATCCCACACTTATTCACACGTACCCTTCCCCCCACACATACATCTCACACACACACACACACACACTTGCACACACATACACACACGAAGTGTAAGTCCAACCTTGTAATCTTCCTGTGGGTAATACCAATATCGACAACAAATACGAGGGTTTTTTTTAGAAAATAAGCCTGAAAATGCCTATTCATTTCAAAATATCATAACTCAGAGAAACACAATCCACATAATGTAATATTTAAAAACGCATTTTGAAAGGGAAATGCTATATTTTAATACAATTAATAAAATTGATAGAAAATGAATTCTTTTTCTCCTCGTGCACGCCAAAGTTAAAGTTTTTTCTACAATTTTGTAAGGCTTTCATTGTAGAATAGCGCCGTTTGCAATAAATCTTTTAGTAAATCTTTGTAGGGAAATCTCCATTAGAGCATTAGAAAGTTGGAGTCTCATACTTGAAAATGCTTTTTGATATACTGCTCTACGATCATTTTTTGTAAACATACATGAATTTGAATTTGATTCTTTCTAATTTTGTGACCCTAATTTTGTTGCGAAGTGTATTAAAATATAAGCGCAATTTTCTGCTTGTTTATTATTATCAGTTATTTAGCAGTTGTTTATTATTTACAGCTATAAATATATATTAAAAGTTTTCTGTTAAAAAGAATCTGTAATATAATTTAAATTATATTATAATTTATCATTATGATTGCGAATTGAAAAAAAACAGTTTTATAAATGTTAATTAGTAATGTTTGTTGAAAAATTCATTTTTTAACAATTTATAAAAATAAAGAATTGTTAAAAAAACCAATATTATATTGTTATATTTATATATATATACACGATTTTTAAAAAATATCTTAATAATATAGATTATATATATATATATATATATATATATATATTTCTTTTAATTTAATCAATTAAAAACAGCTCATTAATAATTTCATCCAATCAATAATTTTACGCTGTTAAAATTAATTTTTATTTACTAAAAGTTGATGAAACTATTGATTCTTAAAAAGATTACTGATATAGATATGATATGTATGTTTAAGGCAAAATTACGTATTATATAGCAACATTATCCTGTATATAATATGTAACAAAATGACGTAACAAATATTTAAAATTTAAATAAATAATTATATAAC